TTTTTTTTTTTGCCTTATGATCTTTGCATATTAGCCATGACGAATTCTTATATATGTTGTTCAAATTGGGGGTTATCGGGAAAAAAGGGCCAGAGGCGACGGTGGGAATCGAACCCACGACCGCGGCGTGAGAGTCTCTCATGCTAACCACTCGGCTACCGCTAATTTTCTAGGTCTGTAATACAGCTGTCATAAAAAGTACAATTTTGACATTTTAGGCCGTTTAAATAAAAAATTAACATCCCCCTAGATAGAAAGATGAAAGATCGAAAAAAAGCAAAAATAATCAAATCCCACGACCCTCCTCGTTGCGCCCTTCATCTCGTTCCGCGAGGGCAGAATCTAATCGTCGGATTGCAGGGAGGCCCCAACGCAACAACCAACTTTGCCAATCTAAAGACTGCTCTCCTCATTCCCAGCAGTCCCAACATCGGACTTAATGACATCTGCATGGCAATTTTATTATTAGCCGGTTGAATTGAATTTTAATTCAAATTCGGAAAATGAAATCCCTTGTGGCATTGCTCCTAGGTTAGGTTTTAACCTACCTTAAATCTTTCACGTACTACAGATCTATTGATTGAAATATAATGTTTTTTTGACCTCGTCGATATTAACTAAAACGAACACTAAACTTGAAACACAGGCTATATTAGACATTAATTTCTAAGCCATGTAGACTTTGATGGTGATTTTGTTAGAGATGATAAAAAAATTAAACGAAAAACGAGGTCTTCTGCCTTATTGTACTTTTTTGGTTTTTCTTAAGTTATGTAGTGGTTGTTATGCATTCAAAGGTTCTATGTGTGGAAGGTTTTTCCGCCTAATTTTATAACCTAAAAATGATGCCAGTTAGAAACATAATTTCTAGCTATGTGATCTTTGATGTTGATAAGAAAATTAGAAAACTAGGGTTTTTTATCCCCAGAAACAATCCAGTCTTCTGCCTTATTGTACGTTTTTGGAACTTTTTGATTTCCTAGGTAATCTGTAGTGGTTGCTTGCCATTCGAAGATTCCATGTATGGAAGGTTTTTCCGCCTAATTTCATAACCTAAAAGTGATGTCATTTGAGAAACATTCATTTCTAAGCTTTGTGCTCTTTGATGATGATAAGTAAATACTAAAAAACTAGGGGTTTTTTTGTGCCCAAAAACACTGCAAACTTTTGCCTTATTGAATTTTTATGGGTCTTCTCTGTTTTCTAGGTTATGTAGTGGTTGTTATGCATTCAAAGATTCTATGTGTGGAAGGTTCTTCCGCCCAATTTCATAACCTAAAAGTGATGTCATTTGAGAAACATTCATTTCTAAGTGATGTGCTCTTTGATGACGATAAGTAAATACTAAAAAACTAGGGTTTTTTTTGTGCCCAAAAACACTGCAAACTTCTGCCTTATTGAACTTTTATGGGTCTTCTCTGTTTTCTAGGTTATGTAGTGGTTGTTATGCATTCAAAGATTTTATGTGTGGAAGGTTTTTCCGCCTAATTTCATAACCTAAAAATGATGTTAATTAAAAACATTAATTCCTATGCCATGTGATCTTTGATTATAAAAAAATACAGAAAACTAGCATTGTTTTATACCAAAAAACACTGCAGAAACTTATTGTACTATTTCTTGTCTTCTTCGTTTCTTAGGTTATGTGTACTGGTTGCTTTCACTTCGAAGATACTACATGTGGAAGGTTCTTCCACCTAATTTCATAACCTTCAAATAATGTCATTTAGAGACATTAATTTCTAAGCTATGTGATCTTTGATGATGGGATTTTTATCACTCAAAACACTTCAGCTTTCTGTCTTATTGTACTTTTTCGTGTGTTCTTGGTTTCCTAGGTTATGACTAGTGGTTGCTACGCATTCGCAGATTCTATCTGTGGAAGGTTTTTCCGCCTAATTTCATAACCTAAAAATGATGACATTTAGAAACATTAATTTCTAAGCTATGTGATCTTTGATGATGATAAAAAATATTAGAAAACTATGGTTTTTATCTCCAGAAACACTGCAGGCTTTTGCCTTATTGTATTGGTTTTCTAGGTTATATGTAGTGGTTCTTTGCATTCGAAGATACTGGGTGTGGAAGGTTCTTCTACCTAATTTCATAACCTTCAAATAACGTAATTTAGAAACATTAATTTCTAAGCTATGTGATCTTTGATGATGATAAGTAAATACTAGAAAACTTGGGGTTTTTTATCCCCAAAACACTGCATCTTTCTGTTTTATTGTAATTTTCCGGATCTTCTTAGATTTCTAGGTTATGTAGTGGTGGCGGCCATGTGTTAGAAGATAATATGTGTGGAAGGTTCTTCCTGTTAATTTCATAACCTAAA